CTAGAATGTAGCAAGCTTTCCATGAAGAGTATCAGACACAGGGCAAGACTACAATTTATCTTCTTAAAAGATTCCTCCTCTCCACTCCCAATTACTGAAATCCTCATCTCATACTACTAGCCAAAAAAAAAAACGGATCTCACATTCTGTCCCCTACTCAAGAGAACCGTATGGCACGCCATTGAAGCCGCCATAAAGAAGCCATTTTGTTATACCAGTTGCAAAATAACGAAATAAACCATAAACGATTGTAATTGGTCAACAGTCACTACGTTGTTCCAGCTCACGCCAAAAGCAAGTTAATCACCAACATATCATCAAAAATAAAAAATACATAAACCCGAATCCCAATCAATTTTCCCATTATGTGAAAATGAAGCATATCCAAATCAAACCCACTTACTTCTGGATGATATTGGAGCCCAAAGAACCTCCTCTCCCTATTCTCCACGGCAGCCACCGCCCCCTGTTGGCTCCTGGCCACCACCTCGAACCCCTCCGGCAACCGCGCCGCCTCATCTCCGTGACTCATCCAAACCATCTGCTTGTCCCCAACCTTCTTTGACCCAAAAATCCCAAGATTCTTCTCTACTTCAATCTCCATCCTTCCATACTCCTGCTTCTCCCCAATCCTGACCTCACCCCCCAATCTTTGCACGATCAACTGCAAGCCATAGCAGACACCTAGAACAAACACCCCGTTGGATTGGGCCCACTCGACGAAGCCGGAAGGAAAAGTCGGAGAGTTGGAAGAATGGACCGAGTGGGGACCTCCGGAGAGAATGACAACACGGGGATTGAGGTCAGCGATGGTGTTCAGAGAAGAGGTGCCGGAGATGCAGAGAGAGAAAACGGAGAGGGACCTGATACGGCGGGTGATAAGGTGGGTGTATTGCGAGCCATAGTCTAGGATGAGGACTAGGTCTGACTTCACTGTTTTCGGGTCCATCTCCCTGCTGGTGGCTGTTCAGGGTTCTGTTGACCTTTTGGCGGCTAGGGTTTTAGGGTTTAAGAGATGAGGAACTATATAATGTTTCATGCGTACGGTACGGGCATGGCGGGAAGTGGATTATGGAAAACGGGTTTCGTTCTTTTTCCATGCTTATTTCTATTTGTATTTTGAACAGCGTATTAATTTTTTTTTAAAATTGAACAAAAATATTATATTTATAAATTATTATACATGTTTTTAAGAAAAATATATAGATATACATGAAATATGGGAATTACATTACCACAATACATAATAAAATAATTCTAATTCTCAACTAATTCTAATAAACTTATTTATATAACAAACACTGTTGTTATATTATCCATACCAGTACCTAATAATATCAAATCTCTCCTAAAGTAATATATAGTGGGTTAGTGTTTCTGAATTTAATGATTATCCATACCAGTACCTAATA